CTTCACAGTCCCCGCTGTTCCATAAGGTGGATTTTTACCTGTTTTTTAATCAAATGTTCCTGCTTGCATCAGTTACCTGATGTGGAATAGAGTTCCATGTAGTCATGGCTCTATGTAGTACTGTGCGCCTCCCATAGTCTGTTCTGGACTTGGGGACTGTGAAGAGACCTCTGGTGGCATGTCTTGTGGGGTATGCATGGGTGTCCGAGCTGTGTGCTAGCAGTTTAAACAAACAGCTCGGTGCATTCAACATGTCAATTCCTCTCACAAATACAGTGCTTCGCAAATGGGTAAAAAGAATTTCAATTCATTTCAAGCAGCGTTTGTTACGGAGAGAGCAGAGCAGCAGGGACTTGGTTCTAAACGGATAGATTAAAACTCCCTCTAGTTTACTCTGCTCTGCCCTACATACTGTTGACTTAATCCATCAAACTAATTAGTGGCAACCAGGAAGGACTCTGGGAGAGGAGACGGCAGGGCTGGCAGACTGAGGAGTATACCCCCAGGGGCAGGGCTGGGTGTCTGGAAGGGGAGGGGCCAATAAGACCACATTTGTGTCTCTCAACACCATGCAGTGTGAGCACCAAGCCTTGGATAAATAATTACACAAATACAGTGCCTTGCAAAAGTATTCATCCCCCTTGGCGTTTTCCCTATTTTGTTGCATTACAACCTGTAATTTAAATGGATTTTTATTTGGATTTCATGTAATGGACATACACAAAATAGTCCAAATTGGTGAAGTGAAATGAAAAAAATTACTTGTTTCAAAAAATTCTAAAACATAAATAACGGAAAAGTGGTGCGTGCATATGTATTCACCACCTTTGCTATGAAGCCCTTAAATAAGAGCTGGTGCAACCAAATACCTTCAGAAATCACATAATTAATTAAACAGAGTCCACCTGTGTGCAATCTAAGTTTCACATGATCTGGAGTATATATATACACACACCTGTTCTGAAAGGCCCCAGAGTCTGCAACACCACTAAGCAATGGGCACCACCAAGCAAGCGGCACCATGAAGACCAAGGAGCTCTCCAAACAGGTCAGGGACAAAGTTGTGGAGAAGTACAGATCAGGGTTGGGTTATAAAAAAATATCAGAAACGTTGAACATCCCACGGAGCACCATTAAATCCATTATTAAAAAATGGAAAGAATATGGCACCACAACAAACCTGCCAAGAGAGGGCCGCCCACCAAAACCCACGGACCAGGCAAGGAGGGCATTAATCAGAGAGGCAACAAAAAGACCAAAGATAACACTGAAGGAGCTGCAAAGCTCCACAGCGGAGATTGGAGTATCTGTCCATAGGACCACTTTAAGCTACACACTCCACAGAGCTGGGCTTTATGGAAGAGTGGCCAGAAAAAAGCCATTGCTTAAAGAAAAAAATAAGCAAACACGTTTGGTGTGTGGGAGACTCCACAAACATATGGAAGACGGTACTCTGGTCAGATGAGACTAAATTTGAGCTTTTTAGCCATCAAGGAAAATGCTATGTCTGGTGCAATCCCAACACCTCTCATCACCCCGAGAACACCATCCCCACAGTGAAGCATGGTGGTAGCAGCATCACGCTGTGGGGATGTTTTTCATCGGCAGAAACTGGTCAGAATTGAAGGAATGATGGATGGCGCTAAATAAAGGGAAATTCTTGAGGGAAACCTGTTTCAGTCTTCCGCAGATTTGAGACTGGGACGGAGGTTCACCTTCCAGCAGGACAATGACACTAAGCATACTGCTAAAGCAACACTTTTGCGGTTTACGGGGAGACATTTATATGTCTTGTAATGGCCTAGTCAAAGCCCAGACCTCAATCCAATTGAGAATCTGTGGTATGACTTAAAGATTGCTGTACACCAGCGGAACCCATCCAACTTGAAGGAGCTGAAGCAGTTTTGCCTTGAAGAATGGGCAAAAATCCCAGTGGCTAGCTGTGCCAAGCTTATAGAGACTTACCCCAAGAGACTTGCAGCTGTAATTGCTGCAAAAGGTGGCTCTACAAAGTACTTTGGGGGGGTGAATAGTTATGCACACTCAAGTTTTCTGTTTTTTTGTCTTATTTCTTGTTTGTTTCACAATGAAAAATATTTTATCTTCAAAGTGGTAGGCATGTTGTGTAAATCAAATGATAACCCCCCCCCAAAAAATCCATTTTAGTTCCAGGTTGTAAGGCAACAAAAAACGCCAAGGGGGAATACTTTCGCAAGCCACTGTACAAGTAGTAATGAAGTCAATCTCTCCTCCACTTTGAGCCAGGAGAGATTGACATGCATTATTAATGTTAGCTCTCTGTGTACATCCAAGGGCCAGCCGTGCTATCCTGTTCTGAGCCAATTGCAATTTTCCCAAGTCCCTCTTTGCGGCACCTGACCACAAGACTGAACAGTAGTCTAGATGCAACAAAACTAGAGCCTGTAGGACCTGCCTTGTTGATAGTGTTGTTAAGAAGCCAGAGCAGCTCTTTATTATGGACAGACTTCTCCCCATCTTAGCTACTGTTGTATCAATATGTTTTGACCAGGACAGTCTATAATCCAGGGTTAAAGCCAGTGGCATGTCGTTAGTAAAGATTGAAAATAGTAAGGGGCCTAGAGGCTTCCATTAAAGAACACCCTCTGTGTTATTTTAGACAAGTAACTCTTTGTCCACAATATAGCAGGGGGTGTAAAGCCATAACACATATGTTTTTCCACCAGCAGCAGACTATGATCAATAATGTCAAAAGCCGCACTGAAGTCTAACAAAACAGCCCCCACAATATTTTTATCATACATTTCTCTCAGCCAATCATCAGTAATTTGTGTAAGTGCTGTGCTTGTTGAATGTCCTTCCCTATAAGCATGCTGAAAGTCTGTTGTCAATTTGTTTACTGTAAAATAGCATTGAATCTGGTCAAATAACCATTTTTTCCAAAAGTTTTCTAAGGGTTGGTAACAGGCTGATTGGTCGGCTATTTGAGCCAGTAAAGGGGGCTTTACTATTCTTAGGTAGCGGAATGACTTTTGCTTCCCTCCAGGCCTGAGGGCACACACTTTCTAGTAGGCTTAAATTGAAAATATGGCAAATAGGAGTGGCAATATCTTCCACTATTATCCTCAGTAATTTTCCATCCAATTTGTCTGACCCCAATGGCTTGTCATTGTTGATAGACAATCATTTTCTCACCTCTTCCACACTCACTTTACGGAATTCAAAATTACAACGTTTGTCTTTCATAATTTGGTCAGATATACTTGGATGTGTCGTGTCAGCAATTGTTGCAGGCATGTCATGCCTAAATTTGCTAATCTTGCCAATGAAAAAATAATTAAAGTAGTTGGCAATATCAGTGGGTTTTGTGATGAATGAGCCATCTGATTCAATGAATGACGGAGCTGAGTTTGCCTTTTTTCCCAACATTTCATTTAAGGTGCTCCAATGCTTTTAACTATCATTCTTTATGTCATTTATCCTTGTTTCATAGTATAGTTTATTCTTCTTTTTATTCAGTTTAGTCACATGATTTCTCAATATGCAATACGTTTGCCAATCGGTTGTGCAGCCAGACTTATTTGCCATTCCTTTTGCCTCATCCCTCTCAACCATACCATTTTTCAATTCCTCATCAATCCACGGGGATTTAACAGTTTTTACAGTCATTTTATTAATGGGTGCATGCTTATTAGTAACTGGAATAAGCAAATTCATAAATGTGTCAAGTGCAGCGTCTGTTTGCTCCTCATTACACACCATGGACCAACATATATTCTTTACATCAACAACATTGGAATCACTACAAAACGTATTGTATGACCTCTTATACACTATATTAGGCCCAGCCTTTGGAACTTTGGTTTTCCTAGATATGGCTACTATATTGTGATCACTACAGCTGATGGATTTGGATTCTGCTTTAAAGCAAATTTCTGCAGCATTAGTAAAGATGTGATCAATACATGCTGATGATTTCCTTCCTGTGCTGTTTGTAACTACCCTGGTAGGTTGACTGATAACCTGAACCAGGTTGCAGGCACTAGTTACAGTTTGAAGCTTTTTCTTGAGTGGGCAGCCTGATGAAAGCCAGTCAATATTTAAATCACCCAGAAAATATACCTCTCTGTTGATATCACATACATTATCAAGCATTTCACACGTTATCCAGATACTGACTGTTAGCACTTGGTGGTCTATAGCAACTTCCCACCAGAATGGGCTTTAGGTGAGGCAGATGAACCTGTAGCCATATTACTTCAACAGTATCTAACATGAGATCCACTCTAAGCTTTACAGGAATGGGGTTTTGAATATAAAATGGCAACACCTCCACCTTTGGCGTTTCTGTCTTTTCTGTAGATGTTACAACCATGTATTGCTACCACTGTATTATCAAAGGTATTATCTGAGTGAGTTTCAGAGATTGTCAGAATATGAATGTCATCTGTTACTAGCAAATAACTGATTTCATGAACCTTGTTTCTTAAGCTACATGTGCTAACGTGGGCCATTTGTAGCACTTTTCTGGGATGCTTGATTGTTTTCATTGCTTTACTGGGAAGCTTAGCAGCAGTAGATGTGCTCATGTTATGTATGTTAGTGCAGGGTGAGCTGCACACAGTGGACTTCCTACTAGGGCACACCCCCTCAGTGCTAACAGTATAACTCTGGTTCATAGGCACATGATTACTGCATACAATGGCTGTAGGATCAGCAGAGGCATTCAGGGCAGTGAGAGGGACATAAATTAGGTTACTTACATTGTGTCTTCCAACGGCCCTGGGATAATGTACATTTGCTGAAGCATTATGATGACTCAGCGACACAATGGTAGGGATTCGCTGAGCTGGGCTTGGGTCATTGATAAGTCATTGTCTCAACGCAGCCTTATAACGATGTGAAAGGATCCAGGAACCCAAAATGATTTGGGTGGATCCCATCCTGTGTGTGTGTGTGTGTGTGTGTGTGTGTGTGTGTGTGTGTGTGTGTGTGTGTGTGTGTGTGTGTGTGTGTGTGTGTCCTCACCAGTAGACGTTCTGTGGGTCTGGTGCATAGCCAACGGTCCAGGAGTATGTGTGAAGGTGCTGGCTGAAGGCAGAAGACTTGGGTTCCCTCCGACAGTGGCAGCCCTGACACTTACATGCATTGTAGTCCTTCAGGATACTGAACAGGGAAACATTTAGAAAGATATCACTTGATTTACTGTTAACAATGCACAAAAAGACAAACCTTGATTTCCAGCTTTTTCTCATTCATTCCAATAGCAGAGTGATGAACGAGACTTGGAAGAATGGGAATTAGAGACTACAAAAACACTACCATTCCCACTTAACATTCCAACTAACACTACCATTCCCACTTAACATTCCAACTAACACCACCATTCCCACTTAACATTCCAACTAACACTACCATTCCCACTTAACATTCCAACTAACACCACCATTCCCACTTAACATTCCAACTAACACTACCATTCCCACTTAACATTCCAACTAACACCACCATTCCCACTTAACATTCCAACTAACACCACCATTCCCACTTAACATTCCAACTAACACTACCATTCCCACTTAACATTCCAATTTATACAATCTCATTCCTTTTATTTCCGTCACACATTCACACCTATATATATATATATATATATATATACACACCTATACTGCCTCACTCTCTCACTGACACAAACACTCTCTCTTACATGGCGGTCATGGCTTCGTTCTGGAAGGTAACGAAGGCCATTCCTAGTGGTTTACTGTTGACCTTCTCTTTCTCCTTCCTGTACTCCTCCTTCAGCTTGGACCTCCAGCTTGGTGTGTAACTCACTGCTTCCTCCTTTAGGGAGATAGATGGTTAGTTAGGGGGGCTTCCAGCTTGGTGTAGTAACTCATGCCTCCTCGGTAGGAGAGAGATGGTTAAGTTAGGGGACTTCCAGCTTGGAGTAACTCACTGCTTCCTCCTGTAGGAGAGAATGGTTAGTTAGGGGGCTTCCCAGCTTGGTGTAGTAACTCACTGCCTCTCCTGTAGGACGAGAGATGGTTAGTTAGGGGGCTTCCAGCTTGTAGTAACTCACTGCTTCCTCCTGTAGGAGAGAAATGGTTAGTTAGGGGGCTTCCAGCTTGGTGTAGTAACTCACTGCCTCCTCCTGTAGGAGAGAGATGGTTAGTTAGGGGGCTTCCAGCTTGGGATAGTAACTCACTGCTTCCTCCTGTAGGAGAGAGATGGTTAGTTAGGGGGCTTCCAGCTTGGTGTAGTAACTCACTGCTTCCTCCTGTAGAGAGAGATGGTTAGTTAGGGGGCTTCCAGCTTGGGATAGTAACATCACTGCTTCCTCCTGTAGGAGAGAGATGGTAGTTAGGGGGCTTCCAGCTTGTAGTAACTCACTGCTCCTCCTCCTGTAGGAGAGAGATGGTTAGTTAGGGGGCTTCCAGCTTGGTAGTAACTCACTGCCTTCCACCTGTGGAGAGAGATGGTTAGTTAGGGGGCTTCCAGCTTGGTGTAGTAACTCACTGCCTCCTCCTGTAGGAGAGAGATGGTTAGTTAGGGGGCTTCCAGCTTGTAGTAACTCACTGCTTCCTCCTGTAGGAGAGAAATGGTTAGTTAGGGGGCTTCCAGCTGGTGTAGTAACTCACTGCCTCCTCCTGTAGGAGAGAGATGGTTAGTTAGGGGGCTTCCAGCTTGGGATAGTAACTCACTGCCTTCCTCCTGTAGGAGAGAGATGGTTGTTAGGGGGCTTCCAGCTTGGTGTAAGTAACTCACCTGCCTCTCCTGTAGAGAGAGATGGTTGTTTGGGGCTTCCAGCTTGTAGTAACATCATCTGCACCTCTCCTAGAGAGATGGTTAGTTAGGGGGCTTCCAGCTTGGTTAGTAACTCACGGTTGCCTCCTATAGAGACGTGGTTATGTAGGGTGGCTTCCAGCTTGGGTATGATAGTACACTCACTGCTCCTCTGTAGGGAGGATGGTTGATTTAGGGGGTTCCATGCTTGTAGTAACTCACTGCTCCTCTGTAGGAGAAATGGTTGTATTAGGCTTCCAGCTTGGGTAGTAACTCACTGCCTCCTGCCTTATGGGATAGTGGTTAGTTAGGGCTTCAGCTTGGGTTAGTACTCACTACCTCCTCCTGTAGGAGAGAGATGGTTGGTTAGGGGGTTCCAGCTTTAGTAACTCGCTTCTCTTAGGATAGAGATGGTTAGTTAGGGGGCTTCCAGCTTGATAACTCACTGCTTCCTCCTGTAGGAGAAAATGGTTAGTTTGGGGGCTTCCAGCTTGTAGTAATCACTGCTTCCTCCTGTAGGGAGAAATGGTTAGTTAGGGGCTTCAGCTTGGTGTAGTAACTCACTGCCTCCTCCTGTAGGAGAGAGATGGTTAGTTAGGGGGCTTCCAGCTTGGGATAGTAACTCACTGCCTCCTCCTGTAGGAGAGAGATGGTGGGTTAGGGGGCTTCCAGCTTGGGATAGTAACTCACCTCCTGTACAGTACATTCATTAAAAGGTGGTAGCTCCGTCTTGCCCTGATAGGCCAGGTTGAATTGTTGCGATATTCTGGACACCTATCATAGACCTCTGGGTTATGGGCTAGGGGTTGGACACCTATCATAGACCTCTGGGTTATGGGCTAGGGGTTGGACACCTATCATAGACCTCTGGGTTATGGGCTAGGGGTTGGACACCTATCATAGACCTCTGGGTTATGGGATAGGGGTTGGACACCTATCATAGACCTCTGGGTTATGGGATAGGGGTTGGACACCTATCATAGACCTCTGGGTTATGGGCTAGGGGTTGGACACCTATCATAGACCTCTGGGTTATGGGATAGAGGTTGGACACCTATCATAGACCTCTGGGTTATGGGCTAGGGGTTGGACACCTATCATAGACCTCTGGGTTATGGGCTAGGGGTTGGACACATATCCTAGACCTCTGGGTTATGGGATAGGGGTTGGACACTTATCGTAGACTCTCAGATCTAGGGGGCACGTCTCTGGTATGATTTGGGATGCAGGGCTGGTCTCACCTGCTCACAGCCCTTGATGATACAGCAACAGAGATGTCCACAGGGTTTGGGGTTTATCATGGTGGGGATGTGCTCCTTGGACTTCAGGTCTGTGAAGAACTTCTTGCTACGCTCGGTCTTCTTCCTGTTTACAGAACACATGACCACATCACATGACAGCACGCATGCTCATATCACATGACCAAATACACAGATCACTGGACAAATGAGGATTGCTCAAAAGAGATCTCATCTGTGACATCATGGCATCTGTGACATCATGGGCAGCGCCGTTCAGGCCATCTCCATTTTAAAGTAGTCAATTTTTGTATTCTTTTTTTGGTTGAAAAAAGCTGAACGCTAATATTGCTGATTTACAGCCACCTGCAGTGTTGGAGTCCTGAACCACATCTTGCGTTTCACTCATTTATTGTGGCCACTAGATGGCGGTGATATAGCTTAAAGCTATTTACAAACCGTAGTACACAATTTGAAGAAAAAAAAAGGACATCTGATCATTGGCTGATCGCTCCCAACCCCTAGGAATCCCCGCCCAGTTGACTACTTTAAAATGGTGGAAGCCCTCAATGTCCACGCAAAAAACAGGTTATATCCAAGTTGAGTCCTATGTTGTTTCTACAGACAATGACAGTCAAGCAGAGGAACTACTTACCTTTCTACAGACAATGACAGTCAAGCAGAGGAACTGCTTACCTTTCTACAGACAATGACAGTCAAGCAGAGGAACTACTTACCTTTCTACAGACAATGACAGTCAAGCAGAGGAACTGCTTACCTTTCTACAGACAATGACAGTCAAGCAGAGGAACTACTTACCTTTCTACAGACAATGACAGTCAAGCAGAGGAACTGCTTACCTTTCTACAGACAATGACAGTCAAGCAGAGGAACTACTTACCTTTCTACAGACAATGACAGTCAAGCAGAGGAACTGCTTACCTTTCTACAGACAATGACAGTCAAGCAGAGGAACTACTTACCTTTCTACAGACAATGACAGTCAAGCAGAGGAACTACTTACCTTTCTACAGACAATGACAGTCAAGCAGAGGAACTACTTACCTTTCTGAGTTGAGGGACATCAGCTTGGCCACATCGTAACAGATACGGGCCTCTAGAACACAGCAGTTTTCATAGGCCTGTCTGTATGGAGAGAGAGACAGATGGAGAGAGAGACAGATGGGGAGAGAGAGACAGATGGGGAGAGAGAGACAGATGGAGAGAGAGAGACAGATGGAGAGAGAGAGACAGATGGAGAGAGAGAGACAGATGGAGAGAGAGAGACATGGGGAGAGAGAGATGGGGAGAGACAGATGGAGAGAGAGACAGATGGAGAGAGAGAGACAGATGGAGAGAGAGAGACAGATGGCGAAAGAGACAGATGGCGAGAGAGAGACAGATGGCGAGAGAGACAGATGGGGAGAGACAGAGACAGAGAGAGAGACAGATGGAGAGAGAGAGACAGATGGAGAGAGAGTGACAGATGGAGAGAGACAGATGGAGAGAGAGAGACAGATGGGGAGAGAGAGACAGAGAGAGAGACAAGAGATGGATTCAAGTTATGGACACGGAGCAATCTGTATGTACAAGCCTACAGTAGGTCCTTCAACCCATCGCTGGCTAAAGTCGCTCTGAAGTCTCTGTATTATAACATATGCCAATTAGCAGACGCTTTTATTCAAAGCAACTTAATCATGCGTGAATTTTTTTTTCTTCTCCATATGGGTTGCCCTAGCGGGAATTGAACCCACGACCCTTGACGTCGCCAGCACCATGCTCTACCGACCGAGGCACACGTGTATCACAGTCATAGAAATAGAATGACTAGAACGGGGAAAAGGCTCCTCAGACCACGGCATTTAGAGAGTACGCTCGAAGGTACACTCAATTTGGCCACTGGGCCACCCATCACAGAATGATAAAGGTCAACTCCACCACTTTACAACCTCATTTTCATTATCCCCAGCACAATAACAGTGTCAACAAATGTGAAAACGTCGCATTTCTATGTTTTTGTAGAATAAAACAAAGTTAAAAAGCTCTACCTGATGAGATTCGCAGTGAAGTGGGGAGAGCCAGAAAGAAACCCTGCCTTTGGGCTAGAAACTTGTTGCTGGTTTTTGAAAAACCACAGTTTTGTACATTTAATCCTACCCTGTGATGTCACAGAGAAGCATATTTTTAGGACCTTTCTCCTGATCGTTTAACCACAGAAACGTGCTGTTTTCATACCTAGACACTGGTGTGGTGCTGGAGATCACGCAGGAGGAGGTTGATAAGCGATGGAGTTGTTACTGTAATGTCAAAGTCTGTTCTAGTCATTCTGTTTCTACGGTCACAGTGACCACTGTCAGTAACTGTACAGAACCACACCACCATGACAGGAAGTAGATTAGTTTCAGATACAAAGCATTTCAAATTGAAGACATGATGCAGCTTCTTTATTCCAGTAATCTAATGTTCACTATTACAGGACTGTAATCTAATGACATTTTACTACATCAAAACACTCAATAGGATGAATTACATTGATATCCTGGCCTAAGGTGTCACATGTGGGTCTCTCTCCCTCTCCCTCTCTCTCCCTCTCTCTCCCTCTCCCTCTCACTGGACAAATCTCACATTTGGGTCTCTCTCTCTCTGCAGGCTACTGGCCAAATCTCACGTCACCTTCTTCCTCTTGGTTTTTTCCCTCTCTCTCTCTCTCTCTCTCTTACTGCCTGAAGTCTCTCTCTGACATGTCTCTGTCTCACAGGTGTGCGTCCTCATCCTTTACGTCTGAAGGGACAGACAACATTACAGGAGAGAGAGAGAGAGAGGTATTTCTGGAACACAAGAGCCTGCCTGTGGTGAACAAAATTAGATTTAGTGTAATACTATTTGGCATGGCTAGCAGGAGGTGATCTAGCAGGAGGTGATCTAGCAGGAGGTGATCTAGCAGGAGGTGATCTAGCAGGAGGTGATCTAGCAGGAGGTGATCTAGCCAGTCCCTCCCAGTGTGTTTGTGTCCCAGCCCTCCTCCTCCTACAGCCAAACACACGAATCACATGATCCAGCTCATACGCCTTCTTTTAGGAACCAGCATCCAGACAGGCCTGCTATTGTCTGTATAGTGCTGGGACACATGGGCCCCCCACACACACACAGACAGCACTTAGTCAAAGTGTTGCCATATGCAGGGAACAGACAGCACTTACTCAAAGTGTTGCCATATGCAGGGAACAAGACAGCACTTACTCAAAGTGTTGCCAGATGCAGGGAACAGACAGCACTTACTCAAAGTGTTGCCAGATGCAGGGAACAGACAGCACTTACTCAAAGTGTTGCTTTATGTGCTTCTCCTCTGCATACTTGGAGATCCCGTTGACAAATAAAGTGCGTTTCACCTAAAAAAAAAAAAAGGTGAAAAAGAGCCAGAAATGAAGATACGGTCGACTTTTCACATTGACCTCCATTTAGTATCCAGCCTGCATACAGTTAGTGGAGTGATATTTAGGATCATTGGTGTGTGTGTTCAGGACCACCCACCAGGTCGTCCTCTCTGTAGTGCATCTTGGAGGTGTGTCGTCTCATGCTGTAGACAGTCAACAACAGGTAGAGGAACGCAAAGGTGGTGTGGAGCCACAGGAGTGTGTTACTGATGAGGAGGGGACAGAGAAACAGATAAAACCCAGTTAGCCACAGGAGCGTGTTACTATGAGGAGGGGACAGAGAAACAGACAGGCAGACACACAGAGACAGGCAGAGACAGGCAGACAGAGAGACAGGCAGACCGAAACACAGAGACAGGCAGACAGACAGACAGGCAGACCGAAACACAGACAGACAGACAGACAGACAGACAGACCGAAACACAGAGACAGGCAGACCGAAACACAGAGACAGGCAGACCGAAACACAGACAGGCAGACAGACCGAACACACAGACAGGCAGACCGAAACACAGACAGACAGACAGGCAGACAGACAGACAGACAGACAGGCAGACAGAAACACAGACAGACAGGCAGACAGAGACAGGCAGAGACAGGCAGACCGAAAACAGAACGGCAGACCGAAACACAGACAGACAGGCAGACAGAACACAGAGACAGGCAGACGAAACGAGACAGGCAGACGAGACACAGAAGCAGACAGAAGACAGGCAGACAGACCGAAACACAGACAGACAGAGCAGACCAGACACAGAGACAGAGACAGACCGAAACACAGAGACAGGCAGACCGAAGCACAAGAGACAGGACAGGCAGAACAGGCAGGCAGACAGACAGACAGACAGCCGAAAAGACCAGCAGACCGAAACCAAGACAGGCAGACCGAAACACAGACAGACAGGCAGACCGAAACACAGACAGGCAGACAGACCAGAATAAAGCCAGTAGCAGACACCAACCATCCATCTGAAGGACATGTCATACAGGAAGCACAAAGGACGAATCACCACTTGGCATCCAGACATAGTGGCCGCCAAACATGTAGCATGTTCTTGAAAACAGAAAAAAGAGTGACTCATGGAGGCAGGTAGAACAGCAGAATACAGGACATTACGACAGCGCTGACGAAGCATAACGTCAGATCCGTAAATCTACAGGTGGTATGAAGGACATACTGTACGTCAGTCATTCTAGTATACGGGGATTATAAAACTGTAGTCTATCCATCTATTTTCTATTGGTGGTAATAAGGAAGATAATGTACGTCATCATCTTGCATCCAGATTGGTATAATGGGAATAACTGTAGGCTAGTTATTTGTTCTGTGTGGAAAAACGAAAAAAGATGTTTGACTTCATTGATTCAGGGTGGGTTAAGCAATGGGAATATACGTGTCTGTCTGATGAAGCATACGTTCTAGTTCATTCTATTTCTACGGGTGGGTTATTGAATGGGAATATACTGTACGTTCTAGTTCATTCTATTTCTACGGGTGGGTTATTGAATGGGAATATACTGTACGTTCTAGTTCATTCTATTTCTACGGGTGGATTGGCGTCTAGTGTCTTTGTCCATTCTAGTTATTCCATGGGTGGGCTTTAGAGGAGGTTGTGGCTGATGAGAAGAATTCAACTCATGTGATACACAGAACATATTGACAATGGCTTCAGTCCAATCTGACCTGCATGACCACAGCTTTCTCTACACAGGAGAACATTGATAGTAATTAACAGTGGTTTGTCCTAAATCTAATAACACCACTTCTTAAAGAATTACTTCTAGGTCTTTATCCTTGTAACACAGGGACCTTGTGGTTAAAGTGTCCACCCTGAGATAGGAAGGTTGGGGGTTCAATCCCCGGTCAAGTCATACCAAAGGCTCTAAAAATGGGACCTGATGCTTCTCTGCTTGGCAGGAAAGGAGATGGATTGGGGGTTAAGGTCCTACGCTAGACCAGCGTCCTACCCAGGGGGCATCAGGCCGGCTCACGCTACAGAAACAGGAGATGTCCGAGCCCAGGACAGGGCAGGAGTCTAGTCTACCTGGCGGGACAGGCTATACAATCACTTGTGTTGCTCCAACTTGAGGTTCTAGTCCTACCAAGATGGGCACAAACCCTGAGCCACGACAGTAAAATAGATCACCAAAGAGAGTCTAGTCTAAACCCCAGAGCATCAAACTCTCAACTACTGAATAAACAAATGTCCGACCAGAAGGCAGATTACATTACCATTGGGTCATCAGCTGGCTCTACCAGACACGTACAGTAGTGACCAGACAGGGAATTTAGTCCATACCGGTGGCCCCGCCCGTGGGAATCGAACCCAGAACCTGGGCGGAGTTCTATCCTACCAGCGGGCATCACCCTCCCTACGCGGAGATGCCAGGCACAGGGTCTGTCCTCCCAGGGGGCACAGGCTGAAACAGGATGTCCGAGCCCAGGACAGGGCAGGAGTCTAGTCCTACCCAGGGGGCACCAAGCCGGCTCACGCTACAGAAACAGGAGATGTCCGAGCCCAGGACAGGGCAGGAGTCTAGTCCTACCCAGGGGGCATCAGGAGATGTCCGAGCCCAGGACAGGGCAGGAGTCTAGTCCTACCCAGGGGGCATCAGGAGATGTCCGAGCCCAGGACAGGGCAGGAGTCTAAAGCTACTTTCTGGCTGGGACAAGGCTATTTACTCACTTTGTTTGCCTCCACTTTGATGGTTCATGTGACGACAAGATGGAAAATACAACAATATAACCCTTGAGCCATCGAAGTTAAAATAGATACAATTAAATCTATAATAACCTCAAAGTCCTAAAAACCCAACTATCTGAACTAAACAACTTCTGAAGTAAGGAACTTACATTTACATTTTAGTCATTTAGCAGACGCTCTTATCCAGAGCGACTTACAGTTAGTGAATACATATTTTTTTCATACTGGCCCCCCGTGGGAATCGAACCCACAACCCTGGCGTTGCAAACGCCATGCTCTATCAACTGAGCTACATCCCTGCCGGCCATTCCCTCCCCTACCCTGGACGACGCAGGGCCAATTGTGCACCGCCCCATGGGTCTCCCGGTCGCGGCCGGCTGCGACAGAGCCTGGATTCGAACCAGGATCTCTAGTGGCACAGTTAGCACTGCGATGCAGTGCCTTAGACCACTGCGCCACTCAGACCACTGCCCCACTCAGACCACTGCCCCACTCAGACCACTGCGCCACTCAGGAGCAGTGATGACTACTAGGGATTCGTCCCAAATGGCACCCTATTCCCTATATAGTGCACTACTTTAGACCAGGGTCCATGGGGAAACCCACAGGGCCCTGATCAAAACAAGTGCACTACAAGGGGAAAAGGGTGCCAGTTGGGACGTCGCCATGGCCACCATTCCAGTGTTTGGCTCTCAAGCCTTCCTGAAGTCCCGCCCCCTAAACCCCACTCACCCAATAGATTTCCTGAGAAGTTGACGGGCAGAACGATGGCCACTGAGAGCACGCCCACCACCACCAGCAGACCAATGATGTGCCTCTGGAAGGAGAGGTAGTGAACAGCATCCTCCCCACACTTCTCCCTGATCTCCTCATCCCTGGAGAGAGAGCATTTATTTTATTTAACGGCATCATAATAATAATAATAATAATAATAATAATAATAAGCCATTTAGCAGACGCTTTTATCCAAAAGCGACTTACAGTCATGCGTGCATACATTTTTACGTATGGGTGGTCCCATCTTTATTTAACCAGGAAAGTCACTTTGAGACAGAGTATTTTATACAAGAACACAGTCAGAGAGATACTAACCAGGGTCCTCCGTGCAGAGCTCTGAACACAGTCACTGACAGTTTAACTCACTCACAAAACACTAATTACTAAATTCCAATATCATTTTCACTCTCTTGCTGTCCCACACACACACACACACACACACACACACAACACACACACACACACGAGAACGACCAATATGGATTATTTAGGGCCGATGCCGATAATGATTTTTTTGGGGTCAAGGAGGCCGATGGACGATATTTTAAGCCGATATTCAATATCAATATCATTACATTTGTAAATGTAAATATTATTATGTAAACTATAATAATATAATATAATATCTCAGAGACATCCATGTATGCATTAACGCATCCATTTTCAAAACAATTGCAATTATATAAAATATTCACTGCTGTTAGTTTGAGAATATAAAAATAGGTCGAACGTAATGTCATGATTTGTGATCAAGGAAACTACACTGAACAAAAATATAAAACGCAACATGTAAAGTGTTTCAGGAGCTGAAATAAAAGTTCCCAGAAATTGTCCATACGCACAATAATCTTATTTCTCTCAAATTGTTGTGCACAAATTTGTTTTTCTCCTTTGCCAAGATAATCCATCCACCTGACAGGTGTGGCATATCAAGAAGCTGATTAAACAGCATGATCATTACACAGGTGCACCTTGTGCTGGGGACAATAAAAGGCCACTCTAAAATATGCAGTTGTGTCACACAACACCACAGATGTCTCAAGTTTTGAAGGAGCGTGCAATTGGCATGCTGACTGCAGGAAAGTCCACCACAGCTGTTGCCAGAGAATTGAATGTTAATTTCTCTAGCAGATTTTGGCAGTACGTCCAACCGGCCTCACAACAGCAGACCACGTGTACGGCGTTGTGTGGGCGAGCAGTTTGCTGATGTCAACGTTGTGAACAGAGTTCCCAATGGTGGCGGTGGGGTTATGGTATGGGAAGGCATAAGCTACGGACAATAAACACAATTCATTTTATCGATGGCAATTTGAATGCACAGAGATACCGTGACGAGATCCTGAGGCCCATTGTCGTGCCATTCATCTGCCGCCATCACCTCATGTTTCAGCATGATAATGCACGGCCCCATGTCGCAAGGACCTTTACACAATTCCTGGAAGCTGAAAATGTCCCAGTTCTTCCATGGCCTGCATACTCAGACATGTCACCCATTGAGCATGTTTGGGATGCTCTGGATCGACATGTACGACAGCATGTTCCAGTTCCCGCCAATATCCTTCGCACAGCCATTGAAGAGGAGTGGGACAACATTCCACAGTCCACAATCAACAGCTTGATCAACTCCATGCGAAGGATGATGTGTCGCGCTGCATGAGGCAAATGGTGGTCACACCAGATACTGACTGGTGTTCTAATCCATGGCCCTACTTTTTTTTAAGGTATCTGTTACCAACAGATGCATATCTGTATTCCCAGTCATGTGAAATCCATAGATTAGGGCCTTAATTTATTTCAATTGACTGATTTCCTTTTATGAACTGTAACTCAGTAAAATCTTAGAAATTGTTGCATGTTGTGATTATATTTTTGTTCAGTATAGTATTTGTTTTGTCATTTTCCGTGATCGGGAAAACTATTTTTTTTTTTCCAGCTGTCAGGACACATCTCTAAACAACTCAGCTGCCAGGACGAAATTCTAAGCTCAATTGGCTAGTTCAGCTATCTGTCAAGAAATGGGCGGTTTGTAACTTGATCCCACTGCTGCGATTGGATCGAGCGAGGCTGCAACTCTGCTCCCTTTCACATCTCCTCACATCTTCTCTCCATCGCCCACATCACTTGATGTTTCCCGCTACGATGACAACTAGCTCAATGGCGATGACGTTTGATACCAATCCATAAATGTGCATAACATCTAACATGGAGGGTGAGGATAGGAAATAACATGAAACAATGATGTTCTGTCTGAATGACTCAAATCTGCCCATTGTTTGGAGAAGTGAGAACGCACACACAGGCGCTGATCTACAGCTTTCTTGGTCCATAAACATGCAGGGAGATTCTGAGGTAGCTAAACCTATTGCCAACCTTTATTTAGGCATTTTAAAACACTTCCTTCTTTCCCTATTACCACAATCATCTAATCCAACTATCAACTGTCAATTTACGGATACGATTGTGGCTGGTCAGATCAGTACACCAGTAAATAGTTAAACGTTACACCGCAAGTCAGATGGCTCGTTTCCCAAAATGGTGCGTGTTCAAAATGATAACCTGCTAACGTTAGCTAGCTACGTTGGCTATTAGCTCCTAACTGATATGTTTATCTAGCCAGTTTGCTAGCATATTAGCTAATATAGTTAGCGAGCTAACACCACAGATGAAAGGGTTAATTTATCAGTCATCTTTGCCAACAGGTCACATAGCTGTCTGCTTAGCTAGCTAGTTTATTGCACGCAGTTCCGGGCACGTAGACAAAAGCCATATTATTAGTGAATTGAACTAAACTAATATTCGCAAAAGGAGTTCGATTTTGGTCACTGTGTCAATTCATCAGTTTCTCAATACTGCACCTTTGTGTTGGAGAATGTGCTAGCTTGCTGCTGATCTTCCCAGATAGACATTCCTCAGCACTGTGCAGTGCTCGGGGATCAGGCAGGGAGTGGCGGCTGGCATAGCAGCAGTTTTGCCATGTAGAGGGATTGTCGGTCCATGGAGAAAGGCCAATAGCTGATACACTAGAAAAGGCCAATAATCGGTCGTTCTCTAACACACACACACACACACAAACAACCAACTTTATGGGAGACTCACTTTATGCGGAAGATGGCTGTTAACCAGGAGCAGAAGCCCTAGAGAGAGAAGAGATTAGGTTAGATGTGCCATAAATTAGGTTAGATCTGCCGTAGATTAGATGAGGTTAGATCTGCCATAGATGAGGTTAGATCTGCCGTAGATTAGATGAGGTTAGATCTGCCGTAGATGAGATGAGGTTAGATCTGCCATAGATGAGGTTAGATCTGTCGTAGATTAGATAAGGTTAGATCTGCCGTAGATGAGATGAGGTTAGATCTGCCATAGATGAGGTTAGATCTGCCGTAGATGAGGTTAGATCTGCCGTAGATGAGATGAGGTTAGATCTGTCATAGATGAGGTTAGATCTGCCGTAGATTAGATAAGGTTAGATCTGCCATAGATGAGGTTAGGTTAGATCTGCCTTAGATGAGATTAGATCTGCCTTAGATGAGATTAGGTTAAATCTGTCATAGATGAGGTTAGATCTGCCGTAGATTAGATAAGGTTAGATCTGCCATAGATGAGGTTAGGTTAGATCTGCCATAGATGAGGTTAGGTTAGATCTGCCTTAGATGAGATTAGATCTGTCTTAGATTAGATGAGGTTAGATCTGCCATAGATGAGATGAGGTTAGATCTGTCATAGATGAGGTTAGATCTGCCGTAGATTAGATGAGGTTAGATCTGCCTTAGATGAGATGAGATCTGCCGTAGATTAGGTTAGGTCTGCCCTAGATTAGGTTAGGTCTGCCCTAGATTAGGTTAGGTCTGCCGTAGATTAGGTTAGGTCTGCCGTAGATTAGGTTAGGTCTGCCGTAGATTAGGTTAGGTCTGCCGTAGATTAGGTTAGGTCTGCCGTAGATTAGGTTAGGTCTGCCGTGGATTAGGTTAGATATGCCGTGGATTAGGTTAGGTTAGATAGACTTCATTATATCCTCTGGGATATTCTTCTTGCAATGCCACGTGACAGTAGTGGACTAAGCAAACCACTCCAATCACAACCCAACCCAACCCTGAGCATTTCTAGCTCTTCCTAAACTGTATATTGTTCTGAGGTAAACATGCACCTTGTCACAACAAAACTGATTGGCTCAAACGCATTAAGGAAATAAATTCCACAAATTAACAAGGCACACCTGTTAATTTAAATGCATTCCAGGTGACTACCTCATGAAGCTGGTTGAGAGAATGCAAAGAGTGTGCAACTGTCAAGGCAAAGGGTGGATATTTGAAGAATCTCAAATATAAAATATATTTTAATTTGTTTAACACTTTTTTGGTTACTACATGATTCCATATGTGTTATTTCATAGTTTTGATGTCTTCACTATTATTCTACAATGTAGAAAATAGTAAAAAAAATTAAGAAAACCCCTGAAATGAGTAGGTGTCCAAACTTTTGACTGGTACTGTATGTGTTGAACGGCTATGACTGTTATTTAATTTTCATGACGGTCTTCATCCATAACCGTCAGATACACGGTAACTGTGCCAGCTCTACCGACAATATGAATTAATTAATTACAAGCTCTTTCTCAAACATGTTTTTCTGTTGTAGTTTAGTCCTGGTGCAGTGGTTGGCTACTGCAGGTGGTCCACAAAATCTATTTTCAAATTATGCATTTTCTTCTTCCAAAAATAACAACAGTAGTCAGTATTAATGGTATTATGCATTTTGACATTACTTTTCACAATGCACATTTTTCTGTGACTCCTCGACGGCGGTCCTCAAGAGCTTTTGACTGTGATTCGGTGGACTCCTGAACAGACAAGGCTGGAAACCGCCGCCCCTAGCGTAGTCGCTCCACACCCCATGACCCCAGTAAAACCAGGAAGTAGTACTTACGGTGTCTCTCTGCTCAAAGTCCATTGAGCTGGAGACAGAGGTCAGGCGTTCGTAGCGATCGGGAAGCTCTGACGTTATGGCAGACGCCACACTGCACACACACAATGTTAAAAAGGTCAAATTAGTATTAGCCTAGCTTAGCATTAGCCTAGCGCTCCCCAAAAACAAACCTGATGGAGATAGCTTTAGCCAAGCATTAGCATAGCACTCCCCAACAACAAACCTGATCTCAAATAGTTAGGCTTTGATATCACCATCGTAGTACAGTATCAACAGTGTATTTATTCACAGAGTAGTTAGTTCACTGGCCACACATGCATTAGGCTCTGAAATGGGCTGGAGAGGTTGGTCCTGGGCTGTGTTCACACTGTTGTACCACTTACATTCCAATTCTGGAATTTCTGTTTATTTCCTGAATTGACAGAATTGAAAATGCAATTGACCCGAGACAGGGTTGGGGTTTCAGTGGGAAGATCAACCTTTTGGTTACACCAGAGACATCCTAGCCTGAGCACCAGTCTCTTCAGCTAACATTCCACTCCTTGTCATCGCCAAGGAGACTGGACTTTATGCAATCTTCAAACGTGAACATTCTATCATTAAATGAGCTCGAGGAGAACAGTCTCTTTGGCGATGACATGGAGAGGCAAGGAGTGGAATGTTAGCTAAAAAGAACTGGTACCCAGACTAGAGACAATCAATCCCCTCCTGGATCAAGATCCCCGTTTTATTTTTATTTTAAATAGCGCCCTTTGTGTGCACTTCCGGCAATACGTATACATTTACATTTTAGTCAATTAGCAGACGCTCTTATCCAGAGCGACTTACAGTTAAGTGAGTGCATACATTTTTCATACCCCGGTATGGTACAGAAACGGTATGAAAATCTGAATACCGCCCCAACCCTATCAGTGAGACAACAATGATCAAGAACAAACCTCTACAGCCTCATTTCCTGCAGTTTGAGGATTCTAGAGATACACACAAACTGTCTCAACACAGAGTTTCTCTCTGTCAGAGACACAAGCCTGTTAAAGGTCCAATGCAGACGTGGGAGTGATCGGAGTGGGGAGGGGAAAACAGAAAATTAGCTGTTATTGGCAGAGAGGTTTAGAATCATCTTCCTTATTGGTCTATTAACAAATGTATTGCATGGTGATGTCACCATGGAAGGCCCAAACTACATCCCACCAAAATAGGCTGAACATTTCAGGCTGTCTTTTCAAACAGCTCTTACACTAAAAAAAAGGCATTCTCATAATTTTCACAATTTCACAGTATTATTCCAACCTCATAGTGTGGAAACATATATATAAAACACAGGAAAATCACGTTTTTTGACTGCACTGGGCCTTTAAGATGACAGATGCTAGCTAGAGAAAGAAGGGTATTCACAGAGACAACAGAACACCAATGTGTAGAGTCGTTAATACACAGACCGAGAGCAGTGGTTCTCAATCCTGGTCCCGGGGACCCAAAGGGATGCACCTTTTTATTTCTGCCCTAGCACCAACACAGCTGATTCTACTAATCATCAGGCCTGTGATTTGAAACCGGTGTCTGAATTCTACGGCAAAAGGAAAAATGTGCTAAAATGTCCCCAGCACCAGGATTGAGAAACACTGACAGAGTGATGTAACCCAACACGCCACTGACTATCCAGCAGAGCTCTGGTCCAGTATTCAGTCTCAGAGCAGGAGTGCTGATCCAGGATACGTTTTTTTGCCTTTCAGATTAATGAATAATATTATATGGCCGAGGGAACTATCAAAACTCATTTTATTCATCAAAGTCCCCAGGTCAGATATTGGGATCAGTAATCTCAATTACAGCCTGGTCCCAGAACTGTTTGTACAGTCTGTCTTGCCAAAGACCCTAAGGGTTAACAAGACCGCACAAACAGATCTGGGACCAGGCTATCTCCATTAATGCTTTAGTACTGGAAGAACTGGATAACCTCTGCTAAATGTCAGCCGCCAAGCGTACAACATTAAAGCATTAAAAGGACGACTTCACCCAGAGAAACCCCGGGGGGGGGGGGGGGGGGGGGGGAATACCTCAGAATCATGTCTAGTATAGAAATACAGAACCACCACAGACACAGCTGATTGGTAGGAAGAGGTGGCTAGCAGTACAGAACCACCACAGACACAGCTGATTGGTAGGAAGAGGTGGCTAGCAGTACAGAACCACCACAGACACACAGCTGATTGGTAGGAAGAGGTGGTTAGCAGTACAGAACCACCACAGACACAGCTGATTGGTAGGAAGAGGTGGTTAGCAGTACAGAACCACCACAGACTAAGACATACAGGAGCTGTAGGTAGGGATAACCAGTCAGGATTCAGGAGCTTGACGGCGTCTACACAACCACAGGGTGAGGTGTGTAGTTACTAGTTCCCATACCTCTCCACCCTGTAAGCATCCTGACTGCTGGGCGCCTCAAGAGGTGCACTCATACAGTAGGACAGGAAAGGCATGCTGCTTGTCAGAGAGTTTAACGACGACACATAGATTAGCACATAGAGCTGATTAGTTAAGGAGAGAGAGAACATCCAGCAACAGGGTTAAAACAGACAGACAGAGACACAGACAGACACAGAGAGAGATACAGCAGCAGGGTTAAAAACAGACCGACACAGAGAGATCCAGCAGCAGGGTTAAAAACAGAGGATGGAGAGAACAGGAGTCTGGCATGGAGAAGAAGAAATCCTAGAGAGAGAGAAGGAAAGAAAACCCACAGAGAGAGAGAGAGAGAGACAGAGAGAGAGACAGAGACAGAGAGACAGAGACAGAGAGACAGAGAGAGACAGAGAGACAGAGAGAGAGACAGAGAGACAGAGAGAGAGACAGAGAGAGAGAGAGAGAGAGAGAAAAGAGAGAGAGAGAGAGAGAGAGAGAGAGAGAGAGACAGAGAGACAGAGAGACAGAGAGACAGACAGAGAGACAGAGAGACAGAGAGACAGAGAGAGAGACAGAGAGAGAGAGAGAGAGAGAGAGAGAGAGAGAGAGAGAGAGAGAGAGAGAGAGAGAGAAGAGAGGAGAACAGAGAAGAACAGAGAGACAGAGAGACAGAGAGACAGAGATAACGAGTAGCAGAGACCAGACAGAGAGAGAGACCAGAGAGAGAGAGCAGACCGAGGACGAGAGACAGATGAGAGAACCAGAGAGACAGATAGAGATCCAGGAGAGAGACAGAGACGAGAGAGGACAGAGAAGAGACAAGACAGAGAGGACAGAGGACAGAAGACTAGGAGAGACAGAGAGGCATGGAGACAGAGAGAGGAGAGGAGAGAAGAGAGAGAGAGAGAGAGAGAGAGATGCCACAGAGAGAGAGAGACACAGAGATGAGAAGAGAGAGAGAGAGACACAGGAGAGAGAGAGATACACAGAGAGAGGAGAGAGAGAGAGAGAGAGAGAGAGCAGGCCAACCCAACCCACACCAGCTTAGGTAGGAATGGAAGGAAGAGAGTTGCTCCTAGAAGATAAGAGGAGTGCAAGGAGGAAGAGAAGCAGCAATGTGACAAGAGGAAGATGAGCGGTGTGACGCGGTAAGAAGACATACTATTCCTGGTCGTCCAGACGGCTGTATCGCTGACTCTGTCTTCAGAGAGAAAAACAAAACAACATGGCGGAGATGAGCTTGGGAGAGTCCTGGAGGAGAAACTAGTGATCAATGCAGTTAATCAGGTTCAATCACAGTCGGGGAGTTCAATATTAGTTGTCTCTTTACAGTGACAGAGGGCCTATGGCTGGGGTTATACATAGATATATTAGAAACATTTCCAAACAGCATAATATATCACATCTATGCCATTAGCAGACGCCTTCAACGAAAGCCACTCAAATCATGTGCGCACACACATTTTACATATGGGTGGTCCTGGGAATCGAACCCACTGTCCTGGCGTTTCAAGCCCCACGCTATCCCAACTGAGCTACAGAGGGCCACAAGCTTGGACAAGAGTACAAATACTGTCGTGCGCAAAACAGGTATTAGTCTGAGTATTGTCTATTTAATATCAGAACCATAAAGACCACTAATCCATAAAATGGCTGCTTATATTAGGTTCATAATAAATAAAAACCTTCAAAACAGATATACATTAGGCCTAGATGTTAAGCCAAACGGGATTCACTGTCTGTAAATGAGATCAAATACAAGTCCTGCAGGTACGCAGCTGGGTAAACAACAGGCCTATCTATGGACCATCACCCTGCAACAGGCCTATCTATGGACCATCACCCTGCAACAGGCCTATCTATGGACCATCACCCTGGCCCTGTCCTAGCCACCCAATACAGCAGAGTTATCTTTGCTACCACATCCACCAGTGGAGGCTCCTCAGAATTGTTTTTATCCTTTTTAGATCAAATTATATTCACGTCAAAAATACCTGGACTAAAACGCACTGTTTTGCAACGAAGGTCTACAGTAGTCTCAACAGCACAGTCATTTTCCGTCCTCCTCTGGCTACATTGACTTCAATACAAAACCTAGGAGGCTCGTGCTCCTCACTCCTTTCCATAGACCTACATGGTAATTATGACGACTTCTGGAGGACGTCCTCCCATCCAATCAAAGCTTTTACAGTATGAACTAACACGTTATCCATCCATCAAAGAATTAACCTAGTACTACGGATGTGTGATTTAGAAGCTTGGTGAGTTGGTGACATTGTTGGATAGATTGAGATAGTGAATAGTGATTTTTAGGAAATCAAATTTGTTTTCTTCAAACTACAGGTGACTGAGGTAGATTTTAAACTCAGCAAAAAAAGAAACGTCCTCTCACTGTCAACTGCGTTTATTTTCAGCAAACTTAAAATGTGTAAATATTTGTGATGAACATAGCAAGATTCAACAACTGTGACATAAACTGAACAAGTTCCACAGACATGTGACTAACAGAAATGGAATAATGTGTCCATGAACAAAGGGGGGGGTCAAAATCAAAAGTAACAGTCAGTATCTGGTGTGGCCACCAGCTGCATTAAGTACTGCAGTGCATCTCCTCATGGACTGCACCAGATTTGCCAGTTCTTGCTGTGAGATGTTACCCCACTCTTCCACGAAGGCACCTGCAAGTTCCTGGACATTTCTAGGGGGAATGGCCCTAGCCCTCACCCTCCGATCAAACAGGTCCCAGACGTGCTCAATGGGACTGAGATCCGGGCTCTTCGCTGGCCATGGCAGAAAAACGGACGTTCCTGTCTTGCAGGAAATCACGCACAGAATGAGCAGTATGGCTGGTGTCATTGTCATGCTGGAGGGTCATGTCAGGATGAGCCTGCAGGAAGGGTACCACATGAGGGAGGAGGATGTCTTCCCTGTAACGCACAGCGTTGAGATTGCCTGCAATGACAACAAGCTCAGTCCGATGATGCTGTGACACACCGCCCCAGACCATGACGGACCCTCCACCTCCAAATCGATCCCGCTCCAGAGTACAGGCCTCGGTGTAACGCTCATTCCTTCGACGATAAACGCGAATCCGACCATCACCCCTGGTGAGACAAAACCGTGACTCGTCAGTGAAGAGCACTTTTTGCCAGTCCTGTCTGGTCCAGCGACGGTGGGTTTGTGCCCATAGATGACGTTGTTGCCAGTGATGTCTGGTGAGGGCCTGCCTTACAATAGGCCTACAAGCCCTCAGTCCAGCCTCTCTCAGCCTATTGCAGACAGTCTGAGCACTGATGGAGGGATTGTGCGTTCCTGGTGTAACTCAGGCAGTTGTTGTTGCCATCCTGTACCTGTCCCGCAGGTGTGATGTTCGGATGTACTGATCCTGTGCAGGTGTTGTTACACGTGGTCTGCCACTGCGAGGACAATCAGCTGTCCGTCCTGTCTCCCTGTAGCGCTGTCTTAGGCGTCTCACAGTACGGACATTGCAATTTATTGCCCTGGCCACATCTGCAGTCCTCATGCCTCCTTGCAGCATGCCTAAGACACGTTCACGCAGATGAGCAGGGACCCTGGGCATCTTTCTTTTGGTGTTTTTCAGAGTCAGTAGAAAGGCCTCTTTAGTGTGCTATGTTTTCATAACTGTGACCTTAATTGTTAAGCTGTTAGTGTCTTAATGACCGTTCCACAGGTGCATGTTCATTAATTGTTTATGGTTCATTGAACAAGCATGGGAAACAGTGTTTAAACCCTTTATAATGAAGATCTGTGAAGTTATTTGGATTTTTACGAATTATCTTTGAAAGACAGGATCCTGAAAAAGGTTTCTTTTTTTGCTGAGTTTATATTTTTTCTTGGTTTTAGAACTTGTCAGATTAGTGTAATATATTTCAATTTGCCTTGCTAACTTCAGTAGCAAGTAGCTAGCTAGCTACCAGAGTGCAGTTTTCTCCGCCAGAAGTGCTAACGCTAACGACAATAAGGAGGAGCTTTTTTTGTTGAAGAACCCCTTTCATCGCCACATCAGATTCAAGCTTCTGGGAAAAAAACAGCATTGATCATGTAGCCTAATGAACGAAGGTCTGTGTCAGCTTGCAGAGGTAATTGCCATTTACATTGCCTGACTTGCTGAGCATATGGACATGTCTACTGTCTTCACTGGGATGTCGAAATGAATTCCGAATGATTCCAACGAATCATCCATTAAAAGTGACATAAAGACGCAGCGCATTGTTTTCCCTCAAGTGTGCTTTTTTCCCCCTCTGTATTTATTTAGCAAACGTGACGATACATCACTCGACAGACAAGCAAAAAACTCTCTACATAAAACGTTACAGCAGCTTCGGCTAGACCTAAACCTTAGAGATGCTGTATGGGATGAAAACGAGATGTTTTTTCAGTCAAACTGTAGTCTACTAACAACAGCAGGTGCATACAGCTAAAAATCACTAAATCTTCTCTCTGCCCCATGGCAAAAACGTTTAGAATTGCAGCAAGCTTGCTTTAATAATGGCAACATTTTCTCTACGCCCCCATAGCAAAATGCGCAGAATTGCAGGAAATTAACTCTACAATTACAATTTTTTCTCTCCGCTGTCAAGAGGGGAGCAAGTCCCCGGCCTAAACCACGCAAACATGCATAAAGCAAGCTCTGCCCTGTGAGTTCTATTGTCCATCCGTTGCTGTCTCTGTGTAGAGGAAACCCCGTTAGTCTAGTCTAAATATAATTCATATGAAGGTTGCTGCAGTTTGACAGAATTTTCATCCTCCCGAAGGCCAGGAGTTTTTCCAGGATAAAAACAAAAAAGGTGAGCCGATTAGAAAAACTGGTCCTTTCATAGCCCATACAAAAACCTTTTTACAACTGATTAAAGGGTAGGAAGCATGAGTTTTTACTCACCAAAATAACAGTGTGGTCAAAGACTTTTAACTTAGTTGTAGCCACGATTTGATTACCTATAACTAGAAACATAAATATGTAATAACCCAGAATCATAACTATTAACTTATGCTAGCTGGGTAGCTAGCTCAAGCTGGCTAACGTCACAGTCCTCATGCGCTTCACAGACTTTGTGGCTGTGTTATCTAGTGGGAACCCATTAGCACGGCAGGCTCTGATGCTTTCTTGCCGTGGGCTCAAAAAGAACAAATCCTACCTGCTGTAATTGTGTAGAACCTCGTCTGTTCTCCCTTTTTTTTGTCAACTTTTCTGCACGTTCTGTGAAGCAGGCTACGGGAGTAACTTTCTCCACCTTGGCTTAGTGCTAGCACGCTAGCTGACGGACATCTGGAATCTATTTGGAATTTTTCTTGCTATATAACAGTGCATTCAGAAAGTATTCAGACCCCTTCCCTTTTTCCACATTTTGTTACGTTACGGTCTTATTCTAAAATTGATTAAATAAATAAAAATCCTCATCAATCTACACACAATACCCCATAATGACAAAGCGAAAACAGGTTTAGAAATGTTTGCTAATTTATTACAAGTAAAAAACAGAAATGCCTTATTTACATGAGTATTCAAACCCTTTGCTGTGAGACTCGAAATTGAGCTCAGGTGCATCCTGTTTCCATCGATCATCCTTGAGATGTTTCTACAACTTGATTGGAGTCCACCTGTGGTAAATTCAATTGATTGGACATGATTTGGAAAGGCACACGCCTGTCTATATAAGGTCCCACAGTTGACAGTGCATGTCAGAGCAAAAACCAAGCCATGAGGTCAAAGGAATTGTCTGTAGAGCTCCGAGACAGGATTGTGTCGAGGCACAGGTCTGGGGAAGGTCCCCAAGAACACAGTGGCCTCCATCATTCTTAAAAAACACAAAGCAAAGATAAGAGAGCCTGGCCTGCGAGCGCACACACACACACACACACACACACAAACACACACAGACACAAACACACAGAGATACATACACACACACACTAACACAGAGATACATACACACACACACACACACACACACACACACACACAGATACATACACACACAGATACATACACACACACACACACACACAGATACATACACACACAAACACACACACACACACAGCCTGGTCTGGGAGAACAGCTGCAGAAAGAAACCAATAAAACTGCTGACGGTGTTCTAGCTGTACTACTGTGGTAGTCTACCGTTCAGTCACCACTATGTACTACTGTGGTAGTCTACTGTTCAGTCACCACTATGTACTACTGTGGTAGTCTACTGTTCAGTCACCACTATGTACTACTGTGGTAGTCTACTGTTCAGTCACCACTATGTACTACTGTGGTGGTCTACTGTTCAGTCACCACTATGTGTGTGTGTGTGTGTGTGTGTGTGTCTGTGTGTGTGTGTGTGTGTGTGTGTCTGTCTGTGTGTATGTCTGTGTGTGTATCTGTGTGTGTATCTGTATGTGTGTGTGTGTGTGTGTGTCTGTGTGTGTGTGTGTGTGTGTGTGTCTGTCTGTGTGTATGTCTGTGTGTGTATCTGTGTGTGTATCTGTATGTGTGTGTGTGTGTGTGTCTGTGTGTGTGTGTGTCTGTGTGTGTGTGTGTGTGTGTGTGTGTGTGTGTGTGTGTGCTCGCAGGCCAGGCCCTCTTATCTTTGCAGCCTAGTGCTTTGTGTTTTTTAAGAATGATGGAGGCCACTGTGTTCTTGGGGACCTTCCCCAGACCTGTGCCTCGACACAATCCTGTCTCGGAGCTCTACAGACAATTCCTTTGACCTCATGGCTTGGTTTTTGCTCTGACATGCACTGTCAACTGTGGGACCTTATATAGACAGGTGTGTGCCTTTCCAAATCATGTCCAATCAACTGAATTTACCACAGGTGGACTCCAATCAGGTTGTAGAAACAGCTCAAGGATACCCCTCCTCAAGTTACACAATCGAGCCCGCAGAAAAATAAAAACTCCTCAAATAGAATAAAACAAAGAAAAGAGAAATCAATGACTCAGAAATACGACTGATGGACTAATAGAAGAAACTTAAAGTTCGTTTTCGAACTGCACAGGCAAGAATTCATCGACTCCTACCTCTCCTCCTCTCTCCTCTGGCCTATCACTCTGCTCCTCTCATCTCCTCTCCTCTCCTCTCCTCTCCGCCTGTGGGTTCACTCCAACAGGGATCACATACTAAACATGTCTGTGTTCCTTCCCAGTGTGTCTCTTAGTCTGTGAGGCTCAGTTGGTAAGAGTGTGGAGCCTTAGCCGTATCCTGGCAAATCCTCAACGCCAAGGTCTTGGGTTCAATTCCTGCAGGGATCACATAGTAAAGAAGGCAGTGTAGTGATTTACCTGTCTGCGTCAGTGACCAGCGCTAAGCGGCCGTAGTCCCACGCTACCTTCCTTAAGATGGAGAATACAAACAGGAGGACCTAGGATGGTAACACATACACACGTTAAAACAAACACAGAACTGACCGCTTGTCAAAAGCTCATCCTTTGTCTTCAGTAGGGTGGGAGAGGTTCAGTAGGGGGGGGGGGGGGGGGGGGGGGGTAGAGAGTAGCCTCACCATACATTAGGCTGCCTTCTCAAATATGGTACTTTTGGGAAGTGAAATTCCTTGAGGGGCTGTTCTATGTCAGCTAAAAGCTGTTTTTGTACACATCTAACCAGTTAAGCACACTTCCTCATAACACAGTTCCGTCTGTCTGAAGGAAAACACATCTAGATACTTCACAGAGTTTTTCCTGAGCATGAGACCTGATGTGAGAGCTAGCCCCGTAACCAGGCCAGATCAAGTGGTCAATAGAAAACTTAGGGCCCTACTAAAAATCTGAAGTCGGTGTCTAACATAAGAATGGATGGATCTATTCTCAGATCTGTACTACTCTGTATGTTGTGTGTGGGGTGAAGGCTGAAGAAACATTTCCGATGTATACGGCTGTATAATATTGTATCCTCATCTTCGTTTGACCTTTGAACTCTGTGTTTTTTTTATACTCACCAGGAAGCACATGAAGTCGAGTGCGAGGACGGTGGGCACCCCTCCAAAGGGCAGGCCCTGGAGCACGGTGGAGCGGATACGGGCGGTGTAGCAGTAGTCCCTGGAGGTCGCACCCCCACCGGAGGTGTTGCTCTGCTGGGTAGGGCAGTCACCAAGGCCCCCTCCGGGACACGGAGCACCCTGTACCCCCACCCCTCCGTGGGCCCACCACATCACCACACCCACCATCAGCAGGACAGACATGCTGAGGATTCACTGCAGCATCTTTAACACCTGGAGGAGAGAAGACAAGGGAATTTCAGAGGTAGGTGCTGATAATCTGTCTAATTTCACACATGTACAAATGTGTACTTGTGTGTAAAGGAATTGTGTTTTTTTTGCATATCCCAAGAGTTGGAAATAGCTCACCGGAGAAATCTGTGCCTTTGTATAAATCAGATGCCTCTGCTAAGGAGGGTACCAGAAATATTGGTTCTAAGGTTGGGCGGTATCTCCTCCCTGCTGAATCCTCCTCCCCCTCCCTCTCTGTGGATGACTTCGTCAACCATTTTGAAAAGAAGGTTGACGACATCCGATCCTCGTTTGTTAAGTCAAATGACACTGCTGGTCCTGCTCACACTGCCCTACCCTATGCTTTGACCTCTTTCTCCCCTCTCTCTCCAGATAAAATCTTGCGACTTGTGACGGCCGGCCGCCCAACAACCTGCCCGCTTGACCCTATCCCCTCTCTTCTCCAGACCATCTCCGGTGACCTTCTCCCTTACCTCACCTCGCTGATCAACTCATCCTTGACCGCTGGCTATGTCCCTTCCGTCTTCAAGAGAGCGAGAGTTGCACCCCTTCTCAAAAAAACAACACTCGATACCTATGATGTCAACAACTACAGACCAGTATCCCTTCTTTCTTTTCTCTCCAAAACTATTGAGCGTGCCGTCTTTAGCCAACTCTCTTGCTATCTCTCTCAGAATGACCTTCTTGATCCAAACCAGTCAGGTTTCAAGACTGGTCATTCAACTGAGACTGCTCTTCTCTGTGTCACGGAGGCTCTCCGCACTGCTAAATCTAACTCTCTCTCCTCTGCTCTTGTCCTTCTAGACCTGTCTGCTGCCTTTGACACTGTGAACCATCAGATCCTCCTCTCCACCCTCTCCGAGCTGGGCATCTCCGGCGCGGCTCACTCTTGGATTGCGTCCTACCTGACCGGTCGCTCCTACCAAGTGGCGTGGCGAGAAGCTGTCTCCGCACCACGTGCTCTCACCACTGGTGTCCCCCAGGGCTCAGTTCTAGGCCCTCTCCTATTCTCGCTATACACCAAGTCACTTGGCTCTGTCATATCCTCACATGGCCTCTCCTATCATTGCTACGCAGACGACACACAACTAATCTTCTCCTTTCCCCCTTCTGATAACCAGGTGGCGAAACGCATCTCTGCATGTCTGGCAGACATATCAGTATGGATGACGGATCACCACCTCAAGCTGAACCTTGGCAAGACGGAGCTGCTCTTCCTCCCGGGGAAGGACTGCCCGTTCCATGATCTCGCCATCACGGTTGACAACTCCGTTGTGTCCTCCTCCCAGAGTGCGAAGAGCCTTGGCGTGACCCTGGACAACACCCTGTCGTTCTCCGCTAACATCAAGGCGGTGACCCGATCCTGTAGGTTCATGCTCTACAACATTCGGAGAGTACGACCCTGCCTTACACAGGAAGCGGCACAGGTCCTAATCCAGGCACTTGTCATCTCCCGTCTGGATTACTGCAACTCGCTGTTGGCTGGGCTCCCTGGGCTGATGGTTCACCTTCCAACAGGACAACGACCCTAAGCACACAGCCAAGACAACGCAGGAGTGGCTTCAGGACAAATCTCTGAATGTCCTTGAGTGGCCCAGCCAGAGCCTAGACTTGAACCCGATCGAACATCTCTGGAGACCTGAAAATAGCTGTGCAGCGCTTGAGAGGGAATGCGAGAAACTCCCCAAATACAGGTGTGCCAAGCTTGTAGCGTCATACCCAAGAAGACTCGAGGCTGTAATTGCTGCCAAAGGTGCTTCAACAAAGTACTGAGTAAAGGGTCTGAATACTTATGTGAATGTGATATTTCAGTTTATTTTTAATACATTTGCAAAAATGTATAAAAACTTTGTCATTATGGGGTCGTGTGTAGATCGATGAGGAAACAAAACAATTTAATCAATTTTAGAATAAGGCTGTAACCTAACAAAATGTGGAAAAAGTCAAGGGGTCTGAATACTTTCCGAATCCACTGTATTTATTTTAAAAAATATTTAAAGCCCAAAAACCATCACTTACCGGAATGCTAACAAAATGCTAACAGGTACTACGGTATCCTCATAGAGAATGCTAACTAAATGCTAATGAGCGCATTGAACATTTTGCAGTTTCTGACCTAAACTATACAAGTAATTCAAAAATGCTACTCAGTTTGCTGAACACACAAAATGAATATTAGCCAGCAAGGCTCTTGATTCAGGAGGGGATTCTCTGCTGTTACCAAGCAAATGCTTTATTTTGGAAGAAGCTAACCACTTAGCAAGATAGCTAACTAGCTACTAAATTAGCAAACCAAATTAACAACAGCAGAGCATTTACATAACTATTACGTTAACTGTCTAAAATGTGCTAAGATATCTAGCTGGCAAACATTTAGTTGTGAATTCCATCCTGTAATTAGATCACCTGGCGCATTTCTGCTCAACAGTGAAAGGGGTAAAAAGGGTGCGGTTTTCAGTTATGTGTGAAAAAAACACCCGGGATGGGGGGGCCGAAAAAAAAAATTAAAAACAATGTGATGGGGGGGCTACCGTTTTAAAATACATAATAACCCCCATGTGAATGGGGGAAATACCCAAAAACATAATAACACCACGTGACTGGGGACTACCGTAAAATTTCAAAGAAACCACGTGACTGGGGACTACCGTTAAAAATACATAATAAAAACCACGGACTGGGGGGCTACCCTTAAATTTCATAATAACACCTTTTGGGCGGGGACTAAATAAATACATTTAAAAACACCCTTGATGGGGGGGGCTACCCTAAACTACATAATTTAACCCCCATGTGACTGGGGGGGCTTTCCCTTTAAAATCCCTTAAAAACACCCGTGACTGGGGGCTACCCTAAAAATAAAAACATAATAAAAACCCCGGACTGGGGATACCGTAAATTTCAATTTAAAAACACACTGGGCTGGGGAAATACCCTAAAAAACATAAAAAAACCAAAGTGGGCTGGGGGGGTACCCTTTTAAAATAAAAAAAAACACCACGTGACTGGGGAATACCGTTAAAAATACATAAAAAACACCGTGACTGGGGACTAAGTAAATAAATTTAAAAACACCAAGTTGGGGGGGGAAAGGGGGGGCTACCGTAAACTACATAATAAAAACCATTTTTGATGGGGAAATACCCCCTAAATCCTAATAACACCAAAGGGGACTGGGGGCTACCGTAAAATTTCATAATAACAAAAAAAGGGGGCTGGGGACTACCGGGGAAACTACATAAAAAAAACCACGTTTAATGGGGGCTACCGTAAAATTAAAATAAAAACACCACGGGACGGGGGCTAGTAAAAACATAATAACCCATGTGACTGGGGACTACCGTAAAATACAAAAACACCAAGTGACGGGGGGCTACCGTTTTAAAATTTCATCATAACCCCCCCCACGTGACTGGGGACTACCGTAAACTACATAATAATGTGACAGGTGAAACGCAGTGGGGGTTTTTTATCTCCCAATGTATTGCGCAAGTTGACAGCAGGTACTAAAAAGTAGCTTCAAATGTATTAAAAAACTTCAAATAAATAGTTTAAAAACAGTATTGAAACACCATCCCGTGGCCGTAGTATATGGTATACTGCCCAAGCCTAGGTTCTACCCATCCAAACATGAAACCACACAACAACAACCATCATCAACAACATCAACAACAACAACCATCAACAACAACTACCATCAACAACAATAACCCACCACCTACTGTACTCCAAATCAAATGAAATTGTATTGGTCACATGCACGTGTTTAGCAGATGTTATTGCGGGTGTAGCGAAATGCTTGTGCTTCTAGCTCCGACAGTGCCAGGTCTGGTCTGGTTCAATCTGAAATACTAAATCAATCATATTTATTTTATAAAGCCTTTTTTAGATGAGCAGTTGTCACAAAGTGCTTTACAGATAGCCAGCCTAAAACCCCAAAGAGTAAGCAATGCCATGGGGGTGTTTCCATGTAAAAGGCCCCACTAACGTGAAGTTAAAAGGAGCTAATGAAATTTGGTGACAAATCAAAGCGATTGGCTAAGAGTATATATATGTTTTTATATATTAAGGCATATATACATTTTTCAACCATTTTCCATCCTAAAAATGAGGAATAAGCAAAGGATTTGATTTCTGGTCAAACAGAAAAGGGATTGTAGAGCTACACAAGGCTGGAATGGGCTACAAGACCATCGCCAAGCAGCTTGGTGAGAAGGTGACAACAGTTGGTGCGATTATTCGCAAATGGAAGAAACACAAAATAACTGTCACCCTCCCTCGGCCTGGGGCTCAATGCAAGATCTCACCTCGTGGAGTTGCAATGATCATGAGAACGGTGAGGAATCAGCCCAGAACTACACGGGAGGATCTTGTCAATGATCTCAAGGCAGCTGGGACCATAGTCACCAAGAAAACAATTGGTAACACACTACGCCGTGAAGGACTGAAATCCTGCAGCGCCTGCAAGGTCCCCCTGCTCAAGAAAGCACATATACATGCCCGTCTGAAGATTGCCAATGAACATCTGAATGATTCAGAGAAGAACTGGGTGAAAGTGTTGTGGTCAGATGAGACCAAAATCAAGCTCTTTGGCATCAACTCAACTCGCCGTGTTTGGAGGAGGAAGAATGCTGCCTATGATCCCAAGAACACCATCCCCACCGTCAAACATGGAGGTGGAAACATTATGCTTTGGGGGTGTTTTTCTGCTTAGGGGACAGGACAACTTCACCGCATCAAAGGGACGATGGACGGCGCCATGTACCGTCAAATCTTGGGTGAGAACCTCCTTCCCTCAGCCAGGGCATTGAAAATGGGTCGTGGATGGGTATTCCAGCATGATAATGACCCAAAACACACGGCCAAGGCAATAAAGGAGTGGCTCAAGAAGAAGCACATTAAGGTCCTGGAGTGGCCTAGCCAGTCTCCAGACCTTAATCCCATAGAAAATC